GGAAAAGTTTGTCTGGCAAATATTTATGTGCTGTTCTAGTAGATCTTCACAGGCACTACTGCAACATTCTCCCCATTGAAAAATGACAAAGAATACTAGAAACATATTAAGACAGTGTGAGCTGTGCTCATGTGTGTGGGTGTGCAGGTATATAAATTTTAATTCTGTCTTTTGAATTCTATCTTCCTATTGTCAGTGGGAATACTGCTGAAAAAGGTGATAGTGGAGTTATTTTCTAGTGGGAGTGAATACAGTCTGAAGCCTGTGTTGATGAAGGATGAAAGGAACCTCCTGAAACCCATGGCCAATGCAAGAAATCAGACTACATGGATGTTTTTATCCACCATAATACACTGGTTGTTCAATAGGCAAGCAGTGACAAGGGGCAATTTGTTGCCCTCCAACCTAGAAACGTTCTACTTTCCATCCTAAATTTGCCCAAAGTGAATTTGTTCTTTCATTCTCATTGTTCCTTTCTATAAATACATGTTTTCCTGCCCTGGAGTTTACCATCCTCTCCAGTGCTTCTAAAGAATACAGTGCAATTCTGCTCTGGTGAATAGACACTTATAGCAAGAAAATTGTCCAGAGGTTGTAAGAAAGTAGAGGCAAATTCAGTCTGAGAACTCTCACAGAGCAGAAGATTTTCTTTTGTTTGCATTTCAAATGCACTGCCTGCTCCTTTCTATAGATCCATGACACAATTTGCTTTGTCCTAAGCCACAGTAAAAATTCTTATTATGGAGACCTTGATTTTGTCTTTTATGACAAATTTTCCTTCTGTTCTCCCTCAGGTTTTCAAAGCTTCACAGTTTAATTGTGCAGTCATCTGCATTGTCATCTCTGATTCCAAACTTGGTGTTTCTACCAAATTTACTTGGTGCAGTCCTGCTTTTTGTGCTAACACAGTAAAATGAAAAGAGCTACGAAGGCTGGTCAATCCTAAACAAGGTTCTTGAGTACCACGAATAGTTGCTGTCTTCTGGTCCAGTTTCTTCATAGATGCTGCTGTTCTTTGCCTGCCTCACAATTTTATTCTATTTCCTCTGGTATAGATGATGGTTTCTCATAAGCTACACAAACCCCAACTGAGAATTACTACATATTCTGTGTTGAGAAAATAATTTTAACAACATAGATGGAAAATTAATTTCACAAATTCTCCTCTGGTATCCTATTCTGTCTAATTTCCCTCTTGAGTAAGTTCTTCTGTCCTTAAATCTAGTCTAAAACCTACTATAAAACTGCTATCAGACTACAGGACCTCCACTTTTCATCTATAGTGAATTATTTTAATCTGAATTTTGTGTTTATCAAAGTTTGATGCCTTGAATTTGAGAAAAGCAGTAGCAACAAGCAAAAAAAGCCAACAAAAACCCTTCAAAACAACAAATGAACCCCCCTCCCTTAGTTGTAAACATGGTTCTCAGAGTCTACGGACTGTGATGTCTCAGTCCACAGAAGGGACAAATAGGATGCATTCAAATGCTTAAATGGGAGAAGGGAAAGCTGCCCGGACTTGAAATTGATATATGAAATAAAATCTTATTCCCTGTCTGGCCCAAAGAAGAATTTGGTAAAGGAGCCTCCAGCCTGACATCATTAAAAATACGCAAATAATCTGCTTTTATTATAGGCTCTGCATGAACTACCTGATCTGTCCTGCACAGAACATTCCTGAAAGAATGTGAAAGAATTTTTAAAGTAGCTCTGTGATGCAAAAAAGTTGTGGTTTATAGGGAAAAAAAAAATAGAAACATGGAAAACTAACAGCTGAAATTGTGAGACTTTAATGACAGAAGAAAACGTTTTGGTCTGTAAAGTCTAAAAGCAACTTCCAATGTTTGTACTCAGAGTTTCTGTGCAGAGCTGGACAGGTTAGCAAAAGCGATTATGAAAGTTCAGCTGTGAAACATTTCTGTGAAGTGCTGGTCTGGTTCTAAATATAACGTTCCCTGTTGGCTCAAGGAAGACCAGGGTTTCAACCAGACACTCATCAACATTCGTGTGTGTGACACCCTTATACACTTGGAATGTCAAAATAGTTCTAATGTGACAGTAAAGCAATTTCTGTGACCTTTTCTCTTTTAATGAGGAAATTCTGCATGTGAAAAGGACTTATAGTCCATTCAGGAAGGACTCTGTCAGATAGCCTTGGAAATTCTAAACAAAAGTATTATTTGCAGTTTTAGAAGGAGAAAAGATTATTACCTTGGGATAAATTGCTGGAATATTTTTCTATTCAAGCCCTTATTAAATATTATCTTTCCAGACCTTGGTTGTGGCATACAGCTGAACTGAAGACATTTTCTGCCTGAAGCCAAAACAAACAAAAAATCACTATGAGAAATAGGTGGGAGCCTTCAAACAGAGGGTGTACTGGTTACTGGCTTCGGAGGTGAAGAAAATAAATTTAAAGGGAAAATGCAGGAAGATTGTCTGGTACAGCTTGAAATAAAAGAATATATACGGTTAGTTTTGTGACCTGAATGTTAAGGTGACCTTGAAGGCTTCTTGAGATGACACTGTGTTCGATTTTTCTCCCATAGTGAACCATAAACATTTTACTCCTAGGAACACAATAAGGATATTTGTGGAATCTACTCTGCAGCTCAAGAGAAGGATGCAAAAAATTCACTTAGCTAAAAATGAAATTTTCATTTTTTTTTTGTTTGCAAAGATATTATTGTGAGGGTTCATTCCTCACACAAGCCTTGTCATTCCAGTAGGATGTGGGCAATATGAAGGCCTTTTACTAATGCCCCCATTTATTTTCCTGTGTTTTGACTTCCACGAGAGGCCAGGTACAAAGCCTGCTGCAATCCTACTTTAAACCAGGCCATGCTTTTCTCCCGCATTAAATGAAGCAATTGAATTTATGGGTTTTAGGAATTCTGCAGCATGCTGCTTATCACCAAACAGTGTGGTTGTGGGTAGTAACAGCAGTAGGAATTTCCTATTTCCTTGCCTCTTTGCAACATCTACCCTCAGGTCCCTCTCCTATTCTGGATTTGGGTATGTAGAGATACACAGGTGCTGTGCTCCCCTGGGTCCCATACAGCCCAGAGAGGCGAGATTGGACTCTGAAGTGGGCTATAACATCCCACTTTTAGTCTGGGTCATGCCTAGATGACTATAGCCATGAAGTGAAGGATGACACTCCTGAGCAATGGGGCCACATGCTCCATCTCCCTTCAGGTTGGAATTACAGCCCTATTCCAGTCCATGGCATAATCTAACCATGCATGCAGCAGCACAGAGACAGCGCTTGCCATATTTGAATTTCCCATCCTTCACAAGCAGAACGTCTCTGATCAGATGCAGGGCTACACAAGATTAGCTTCTGTTTTAGGATTAGGGAAAGGAGTAGGACAAAAATGAAGTCTATTTAAACTTCTGATTTATGTCAATGACATCAAATCAAAAGGATATGGTTCTGCCCATAGCCTCCTAGAAAATAACGGGCTAATATTTCCTTAGTCTAACTGAATAGGATATAAACTCTCATTTAAAATTGTGTCTAAATCCCCTGAGTGCCTTGCAGAATCTAACAATATTGTCTGCTCTGAAGCATTCAGAAGTTAGGCTGCTCCATGGATTTTTACAGTTTCTCTAGCTGGTACAAATGGATGAAGTGGATTTTCACTGTTTTTCACCAGGTAAGGTCCTGATCCTAGGCTGAAATGAAGAAGGGTTAAGGGAGAATTATAACAATAGACAAGAGCTGGATGGGGTTGTCTAATTATATGTTCTGTAAGCATTTATCCCGATTTTTTTGCTTTCTAATACCTGAACCAGGCAAAACAACTATAGATTGTTTTTCAGACTGGTTAGCACTTGTTGTCTGGTATAGAAAAGGTTAACAAATCTAAAACAGAAATGAAGAAACACCCCAAATATTTTTAGGTAGTCGCAATATTAGCAGTTTGCTGTAGTTCTCTGCAGGTAAACTCTTACATCTGACCTATTTGAATGCTAATATTTCCTTTGAGATGCTCACATGTTTGTTTACTTTTAAAGATGTGTAAATCCTACTGAAAATAGTCATAGTGGGTGAGCAAACATTGTACCAGTGGAAAATAAATTTAAGTAAAATAAGAACCTTTGTGCTACAAGCTAAATTCACATTTCTAATCCTAACTTCATTCACAGGTACATAGCTGAGACCCTCTAGTGGCATAAACATTTATTTGCCTTCAGCATGTGATTAAAATTCTATTTTACAGTTACATTATAGCAACAAAATTACAGGTAGTATTTTTGGACGCTCTGGGGGCTCTGGCAAAGCGAATCTGGGATTAGATACTGTGCAGGCTCATGTTAATGAAAGCAAATTGATTTTTAGCGTTGAGGGGCAATTATAGATGCACTGGAAGGAGAGGGGAATTTTTGAAAGGATATTCTAGAACTAATTACTATCAGTAAAAAACACACAAAGAGCAACGTAATACCCAGGGCAGCCAATGGGGATAAAAGCTTGCACACAAATCTGTCATGACCTAGTAGTGAAGACTGTTTAAAAACAGTGATCTCCACTTAGCTTGTAAATGCGCATCGCCCTCTTTCTCACTCATATATTCTCTCTCTCTCTCTCTCTCTCTCTGTCTCTCTGTCTCTCTCTCTCTTTCTCTGACACACACACACACACACGCTCCTGGATTTGCAGAAGACAGACATCTAGGGCACTTCTTGGCATCCACAGAAAAATCATATGGGATTTAAACCCCCCAGCAGTAAGTACTCACTGCATTAAATGTTTATTAAGTGGCATGCTGTCAAAAGCTAGATTTAATGGTAAATACAGGAGAACTTGAATGGAAATTGGTTGTATTTGATTTTTCTTAGGAATTGCTGAAAGCTGCCTCTCAAGGATTCCAAGTTCACCTTTTGCATTTACGGCTGCTTGTTTACTATCCATGTGGTACCCTCTGGCCAGGCAGTAATCCATTCATTATCCACTGATTGAGTGCGGGAGCAGCGCAGTGCTAACTACTTCGCTCAGCTGACGGCAGACAACAGAAGGAGGAAAATGATGAATTCGGACAATTTAACCTCCCAAAGCTTCCTCTCTGCGATTCACAGCAACACCAGCAATTTATTCTCAGGGCTCCAGTTTGTTCAGTCCTTCAAGCCACTCATCATCCCCTGCTACTCGCTGGTGGTTTTTATTGGTGTCATTGGGAATTACCTCCTCATTTATGTCATCTGCAAGACAAAAAAAATGCACAATGTCACCAACTTTCTGGTAGGCAATCTGGCTTTCTCAGACATGCTCATGTGTGCAACCTGTGTGCCCCTGACCCTGGCCTATGCCTTTGAGCCCCGGGGATGGGTTTACGGGCGCTTCATGTGCTACTTTGTTTTCCTGATGCAACCTGTCACGGTGTTTGTGTCTGTCTTCACCCTGACTGTCATAGCTGTGGACAGGTACTGTGCCACGGTGTACCCATTCCGCAGGAGGCTCACCATCCCTATCTGTGCTTACATCCTGGCTGCTATTTGGCTGCTGAGCTGCACTTTGGCTGCCCCAGCCTTGGTCCACACCTACCACGCAGAATTCCCGGAGCTGGACTTCTCCATCTGTGAGGAGTTTTGGTTCCACATGAAAAGAGATCGCTTGGCTTACGCCTACAGCACCCTCATCATCACCTACGTATTGCCTTTGGCTGTCATCTCCCTGTCCTACCTGAGGATCTCAGTCAAGCTGAAGAACCGTGTAGTCCCAGGCAATGTCACCCAGGGCCAAGCTGAGTGGGACCGTGCCAGGAGGAGAAAGACTTTCCGCTTGCTGGTCTTAGTGGTGGCTGCCTTTGGAGTCTGTTGGCTGCCCCTGCACATCTTCAACATGATAAAGGACATCGACATCAGCTTGATAGACAAGCAGTACTTCAACTTCATCCAGCTGCTGTGCCACTGGTTTGCCATGATGTCTGCTTGTACCAATGCCTTCCTCTATGCCTGGCTCCATGACAGCTTCAGGGGAGAGCTGAAAAAAATGTTTGCCTGGAGGAAGAAGAAAATTGGACCTGCTACAAACTGCATTATGGCCAGTGTGGTGCTGTAAATGAGAGCTGGTGGGAGTGCACCTCTTTTGTTCATTAACATTGTAAGTCTTTTCCACTTTTAATTAGTCCTCATTCCTGACATTTGCCCTTAGGGCTCAATTATAACAATACAAGTCCCATGTGCATCTTTCCCTGCACCTCCACTTCTAATGGAGAATGACAGACAGCTGTCATGCCTCAAAAATATCTTTATTTCTTTGATTGGAGTTAGAAGCCAAGGAGATGTAAACACAATAAGATACAGGGATCCTTCCTATCTGTTTTGGATGTTATTGTCAGTACAGAGATGAGTTTGGAGACAAAGAGAAGCAAGGATGGATATGAAACTTAAATATCTCAAAGAGGGAGTGTTTTGGATTGGATAAAAATTAAATCTGTGTGTCTACCCAGAGTCCATTCCTCAGGACAGGCTCTATGGTAAAGGACTCACAACATTTCTGTGGTCCTTTCTGAGTTTGGGCCATTGCCTCATGCAGCCCCAATTCACTGACCCTACTGCAAGTCAGCTCTGCTGTCCTCACAACCTTGTCAGTGCCAAGGTGAATTCTATTCATTCCTTGAGGAACTGATTTTGACATGTGGCAATGCTGCCATCAGCTCTGGTGTCCAGAGAGAGCCAGAGGCTTTGGCACTGCCCTTCTGGAGGTGCCCTAAGAGACAGAAGGCTGAAGGGGCCGTGGATATTGAGCCGAGCATGATCATTGCATGGCCAAAGAAAGAGCTGCCAAACAGGAGGGGCAGTCCCTCTCCTTTGGAGGAGTCTTTTGGGAAGAAACAATTTCCTTTGACATTCACCTCTCAAAGGGAGTTAGAAGCTATAATCAACCTAGTGGTTTCTAGTTTCTTCCTCCCTGAAAATATCTGGTATAACAGTTAAGTGTACAGGGCAAAGTTCTGACAACAGATATTGGTTCTGAGAGGTTTCCTCCATCCTGCTCAGCTGGAATCTGGAATAGCATGAGAAACTTCCTGGTACTGAACTGACATCAGCCAAAAACCAGCACAATCCAGGGGCAGTTTTGGCCATGGTCAGCAAGGGCATCTCTCTGACCATACCTGCACATGGCCAGAGATGTCTCTGCTGGGGACAGTGCAAATGGACGTGAGGGGAGGGAGAAGAGATTTGGTTGCTTTAGTTTGTAAATGTAATCTTAATTGAATCTGTGAAAATAATTTTGCTCATTGTATTTCAGTAAAATTAGATCCAGATTCGTATGCACACCCTGAGAAAAATGTTGGGAAAACATTTGAAATCTCATTTCATGAACTTCCTACAATTTCAAGTTGTTCTACTGCTGGTAATGAGGACATTAAAATCTGATTACAGAGGCACTGAATGAAGAAGGTCTGTTTAAATTGGGCACTACTTGCTTTCACTCTGTGATTATGTGTGTCTGCCTTACTTACCTCAGGTTAAAGATTTGAGTGACCTTCTGAAGAATGTTTTCCTTTTGCTGAATTTCAGGAAATGACTTTTCCTTGAAGCTCAATATAGGAAGTTACTGGAATAATTGGTCACTTTGAAAAGGCAAAAAGCCCACTTCCAAACAAACCAACCTAAATTTAAAAGCTTTTCAAACTCATTTTCAGGACTCTTTTAAAGAGTACAGAGAGCAGGACACCAAGAGAGCAACAACAATGAAACAACAATGTCAAAAGCAGCTTCAAACAACAAAAAATCCTGATTTTTAGAGATTTTTCGTCTGTGGAATTAAGTCAATTCAAACTGCTAATTTTTCAGTTTGTAATGGTTAATTGACATTGAAGTAGCTCAGAATGTCTCCAGCCTCCTGCACTAAATATAGACAGTGCTGTCACCCAGAGGAATCCAAACTCCAGTGGAGTCTTCCCAGACTTTCTTAACCACAGCAGTCCTGGGATCTTTTCTTCCTAACACACCATATTTTATCCCTCATTTGCCATTCGTGTTCTCTTGAATGATGATGACTGGAGATGGTGACTGCAGTGAGCTGCATGAAGCAAACAAGGATTTCTCTCTCTATTTGGTTTTCCTTGAGACAGAAATGAAGGCTGTTCAGTGCCAAGATTGTTCCCACAGTGACGGATTCATTGGGAATATCTCACTTCCAGCTGCCTCTGGAGCTGCTGTTAGAGCAGTGCCAAGGTCTGGCAGCTCCTGGAGATGCCCAGCACAGCTGGCATCCTCATCCAAGTGCTGGTTTAATCTGTACATGCCTTGATTCTGTCAGGATGTGAATTTGCAGCAGAAAGCTCAAAGCCTGCCCTTGTTTCAGGCCCTCCTCATAAGCAGGTTTTCAGATGCACCCTGAAATGATCTGCATTCCCCAGCTGTGAGCTCCTGAAGCTCCTTCTCTCTCCTTCACAGCCCCCTTAGTCCACCTCAGTGGTCCTGTAATGCTATTTTTCCAGGCTTTCCCTGCACAAAGGAGGTCCAGTCCTGAGCTTGAGGTCTGGGCATTCCATAGGGCAGAGAACAAAGCACAGCCACATTCACAGAGCCTCAATTCTGTTAAATGAGCCCCAAGAATCTCTACCCAATTTAATTATTGTTTTGTCTGATATCCAGAATAATAAGCAATAATAAGATTTAGAGGCACGTTGATGCAATTCTGTAATCCAGTTATGCAAATAAATATATTGGGAGCTGTCATGTGAAACGTGTTTGCTAATCTCCAGCCCTCTGCAGGGAACTGCTGTGGTTCTTGGAAGGACCAGGGCTCATCACTGAGGCATTTTTGATGGTATATTTTTTAATTGCATTTTAAGAAATCATGCCATGCTTCTATTTTGTAGAGTAACTCAGTTCAAAACTTGATAAACTACACTAGTGCTTGATCAAGCATAAACTACTCCCTGTGGTCAAGAGTGGGGCTGGCATTAAAAAGCAATGTACTCATGAAACACATAGAGAATTGAGTGTTTCATCAGGAATGAGATTAGAAAGTGACCAAAGCTCACTGAAGTTGAAATCAGGCAGCCAAAGGAAAACAATAAAACCTCAGTTAGGGTCAGGTAGGGTTGATCTTTCCCCACCTCAGGGATGTCTGCTCAGATCAGTTGCCAAAGACTAACTCGTCTGTGCAATGTGTTGCTTTAAATACATTTTCCTGGTTCTTGGCTGAAGAAAACTCAGAGTTATATTTGTACCATGTTTGGGGAATGGCAGTTTATTGGGGTGGGCAAAAGCAGCTCCTGCTTACTCACAGGAGCAGGGGAAGGTTTCACAGCTGGATGATAGACTGAGGAAAGCTGATGTTTTTCATACTTGATGAACAACAAGTGCTCTATTCAGTTTTAATTGAGCAAATTTTGCTTGTTGAGGTGGCAATGGTGAGTTATAATTAGTTGTCTAAGGTGACAGAAGCTGAAAATGATGCACCTGCAGTTGGGGAAAAAAAATGTGACACCAGAGAGAACTGTATAATACATGAATCTATCTCCCCACCAGAAGAGAAGAGAGTAGGGACAAAACCAGCATGCTGGTGGTAAAGCCACTGCCATCTTGGCCATTTCTGCATTAAGAAATGTAGTACAAACTTTTCCCTTCAGCCTTCCCCTCTTGCTGCTCAGTATCTTTTTCTTTTCTCAGAAAAAAATAATCACATTCCTCTTCCTTACACTGGAGAAAATGTTGCTCAGGGGTCAAAGCAAACATTTCTGCCTCATGGAAAGCAAGAAAAGAAGAGTTTTCTAAAGGGAAAAGGGCTTTCTAAAATGAAAAATATCCTCTTCTCTCTCTCTCTGCAAGACACAGGCTCTGAACTGAACCATTTGCTGTGTGGATCTGAAGCTAGCCTGGCCTGACACTTGTAGCTCTGGCTTTTGTATTTACAAGTAAATACCTCTCCCTATGCTCAGTGACCTCATTTTGGGTCACAACCATCACTAACTCTGACCCTTTGCACCTGATTTCCCTCCACAGCAACAAGATGTTTCACTGAAAGTCTCAGAGAGGAGCTGCAGATGCATCTGAGGTATCCATCCCATATTAATGGGACTTTTCCTTTGGAAATCACAATCCCTGTCTCAAGAGCAGGTCTGAAGTCTCTTCCTATTGTGTAGTGACATAACCAGATGGGACAGGCTTCCCCAGGCTGATTTCAATAAAATTTTATACTATTTTTTTCTCTGCTCCCTGGTGTTCCAAATTTTCCCCCAGACTCTTGAAGCTACTCAGTGGAAGCAGGAGCCTCAAGGTTGTTGTCACCTGAAATTAGGAATATCAGCATTTTCTTATTGCTCCCTGGGGAATAAAAAGACATCCAAGTGCTCTCTCTTTTAGGAACTCACACAGGATTACACAGGGAACAGATATTAGGAAAACTTTCTACACCAAATGGCTGGTCAGGTATTGGAACAGCCTGTCCAGGGCAATAATGGACTCACCATCCTTGGAGGGACTTAAAAGATGTGTAGATGTGGCACCTGGGGACAAGGTTTAGTGGTGGGCTTGGCAGTGCTGGGACTTGATGATCTTAGAGGTGTTTTCCAACCTAAATGATTCAGGACTAATTGATAGTCAGGCTGCCTCCCTACAGGGCAAAAAATGAGAGGTTAAGGGCATGAAGCTCAAATACATCCCATTGGGAGTTATGTCCCTTTGGGATCTATAAATTTACTCCCTTCACCAAGAAGCAGATGGGATTGACTTTCCCTTTCTACAGCTTGCTTTGTTAAATTAAGTTAATGAAGCTAGTAATCCATATAAATAATAAAGCACACACTCAAGAGCTCCCCAATTCATGCCTCCAGCCCATTGGAAATCAATTTGGGATCACTGCTTTCTATTTGTAACTGATTGGGCTCTCCATCCTTTGCACCTTGATTATGTTAATTATCACATTGTAATTTCCCTGTGTTGTTTTGTCTTTTT